AGGGGTACCAGCCTTGAAACGGAGGGTCACCTCATAAACAGCTGCAGCCAGTGTGACCGAAAACTATGCACCTGAGGGAGAGGCTTGTTGCCCCTGCACTGCAAGGGTTAAGTGCTAATTTTTGCCTAGGTTAAAAAAATAACAAAGATATGCGCACCTGAACCTCAGAGATTGCCGGCTGTGACATCGACCAAGTGTCACAGTATTCAGAACAAGTTGTTTTCACCGAGAACAGTATTGAGAACACACGGACATAACAAGAGGTTAGAAGAAAGGCACTTCAATCTTAGACTGCGAGACTGTGGGAGAAGAAAAAATATGAAATTCCCTTCCACAGGCAGTAGTATATGCTGATGGCGTAGATACGTTTAAGAAACTTCTAGATGAGTTTCTTCAGTCACTAAATATACAAAGATATGGGAGGTGTTAAATATATATTCTCAGCATAAATGAGTACACCCCTTTGAACAGTAAGATTTTAATCATCTCAGTGAACACAAGAACAATTTCCAAAATTTTGACAAAACCGAGTTTTATAGAACATTTGTTTAGCTCATTACATGAAAGTAAGGTTAATAATATAACTTAGATTACGGAATCTTCAGTTTTACTCAAATTAAGCAAAAATGAATACACCCCACAACAAAAACTACTACTTTTGTTTGACCTCCATGATTTGTAAGGACAGCACCAAGTCTTCTAGGCATGGGATGAACAAGTTGGCGAAATATTACAACATCTATCTTTTTCCATTCTTCATGAATGACCTCTTTTAGAGCCTGGATACTGGATGTTTAGTGATGCTCAACTTTTCTCTTCAGAATACCCCATAGGTGTTCGATTGGGTTCGGATCAAGAGACATACTTGGCCACTGAATCACTTTCACCCTGTTCTTCAGTGGCCTTAGATGTATGTTTTGGATCATTGTCATGTTGGAAAAGTGCACGATGACCAAGGACACCGAGTGATGGCAGCATCTTCGCTTTCAATATAGAGCAGTACATATGTGAATTCATGATACCATCAATGAAATGCAGCTCCCCGACGCCAGCAGCACTCATGCAGCCCTACAGAAGGACACTGCCACCACCATGTTTTACTGTAGACACCATGCATTTTTCTTTGTACTCCTCACCTTTGTGACGTCAAAAAACAATGATCTTGGTCTCATCACTCCAGAGTACAGAGTCCCAGTAGTCTTCTTTTTCAGCATGGGCCCTGGCAAATTGTAGGCAGGCTTTTTTCTGCATGGGCTTTAGGAGAGGCTTCCTTCATGGGCGACACCCATGCATGCTATTCCTCTGCAGAGTACGCCGTATTGTGTCACGGGAAACGATCACCCCAGTTTGGCTTTTTACTTCTTTAGCTAACTGCAGTGAACTTGCATGCTGATTTTCTTCAACCCTTCTCATCAGAAGACGCTCCTGTCGTCTCTGGACATCTGTGTGAGATGGTTGCAGTTCCATCTTTGTTAAATTTTTGTATAATTTTTGCCACAGTATTCTGACTGATAAGTAAAGCTTTGCTGATCTTCTTGTAGCCTTCACCTTTCTTGTGTAAAGAAATTATTTTCTTTGTCAGGCCTTGTGACATTTCTCTTCCATGTGGTGCCATTGCTGACAGCATGAAATGTGAAGGCGTTTTCTTTGTTAAGTAATGGCCTGTTATAATCTACTGTCTGCTGGACACCTGTTTATTGAATAATTATACTCACCTGGAGTTGAATTCTTGTTAATTAGGATTCTGTTGTCTAAAATTTAGCTTTGCTCCTATGACTTTCATTAGGGTGTATTTATTTTTGCAACATGGTTTTGAATTAATTTGTAAGGAAAAATACTTTTTTGTTTGTGCAAATTAACAAATCTTGTTTGCAATCAATGGTGTGCATTCGTGGGAGTATTTTGTAGTATAGTGTCCCACAGAAAATGTTGATTCTGAAAGGAAAGTAAAGGTTTTCTGACAAATCTTTTGAGATGTACTCATTTATGTTGAGCACTGTATAAATATATA